GCCATGCCGGGGGCCCCCTGCCGCCCCCCTGCGCTTCCAAGCCCCCGCGGGCGACCGCAGCCAGGGCACCAGCCAGGGGCGGTCCTCCTCCAGCGCGTCCCCGGCCGCCATCGCGGGGCGCGCGCCTGGCGAGGTCGTCGCCGCCGCCGCCGCCGCCGCCGTCGCTGCGAGGCGGAGGGGCATGCCGGCGCCGTGTGTGCGCGCCCCGCTCGGAGCCGGACGTCCGCCCGGGAGCACACGAGGCAAACGCGTGGGCTTGCCACCAGCGCACGTTTGAAGAGACGGGGGGTACAGGGCAGTTGTTAATACATGGGATGTTTTTTTTTTTAAATATGAGTTTAATACATAACTAGTTTACGAATGAATTTAGACATGAACTCATCATTGTTTTTAATACTGAATCCCTGCGTTTGTAATACATGATCCGCACGCGGAGCAGGTATTAAAAACGGCACTGTAAGGGGAAGGGCAGGGAGCTGGCAAACCCCCACGTGTCCCACAGCTCTGGCTGCCAGTCGCACGCAGCCTCCCCCTGCCAGCCAGGCCCGAGACGAAAACCCTGGACCCGGGCCGATACAGCACCAACATCCGACAGCGCAGCGTCATCCAGGCGGCATGACCAGTCCACGCCTGCCACAGCGCTAATACTTCAAAATGCTTCAGTTGGGCGTCGCCCCTGTGGAAGCGCCACCTTCTGCGGCAACTCATGGGAGCCTCCCAAACCAGATTGCTGGCCCTTGCGAGTCGGAGCGAATCGACGCAACCTCGGCACGAAATCGATGCCAGTCTTTGCTCATCGACGCGGAATCGGCGCTGACCCACTGAAAACCAATAGGCCACGACACGAATGGACAGCGAATACGACGCGGAACCTCGGCACGAAAGTCGATGCCAGTCTCACGCGCCTCCCCCGCTGACCCACGAAAACCAAGGCCCTTGCGATACAGCACCAACATCCGACAGCGCAGCGTCATCCAGGCGGCATGACCAGTCCACGCCTGCCACAGCGCTAATACTTCAAAATGCTTCAGTTGGGCGTCGCCCCTGTGGAAGCGCCACCTTCTGCGGCAACTCATGGGAGCCTCCCAAACCAGATTGCTGGCCCTTGCGAGTCGGAGCGAATCGACGCAACCTCGGCACGAAATCGATGCCAGTCTTTGCTCATCGACGCGGAATCGGCGCTGACCCACTGAAAACCAATAGGCCACTTGACACGAATGCACTAGAGACAGGACCTCGAGGGTATACCTCCCATGACCAAGGCCACACTAACGGCGGTGATGTTAGAAACCGAATTGTAGGAAATCGCGAATCACACCTTCCTACATTTCCAACATGCGGATGCATCGAACGAACACGACACTGCGAACTGTGGGAAAGCACGAGCCCAACCGAGTCGTGGCCGTCGTGCCGCGCACCCGCGAGGTGTCGCCTGGCTCGCCCGCTGGCAGCCCGGGCTGGAAGGGGCGGAGGCCGCCAAGCCCCGCCTGCGGACACGAGCCAGAGCGACGGCGGGTCCTCCTCCTCCTCCTCATCATCAGCATCATCAGCAGCATCAGCATCAGCATCAGCATAAGCATCAGCATCATCATCAGCATCATCATCAGCATCATCAGCAGCATCGGCATCATCATCATCATCCTGTCCTCCTTCTCCTCCTCCTCCTCCCCATCCTCCTCCAAATCCTCGTACTGTTGTCCTCCTCCTCCTCGATCCTCATCTTCCTCATCCTGTCCTCCGTCTCCTCCTCCTCCTCCTCCTCCTCCTCCTCCTCCTCCTCCTCCTAATCCTCGTACTGTTGTCCTCCTCCTCCTCCTCATCCTGTCCTCCTTCTCCTCCTCCTTCTCACCCTCACCCTTCAAATCCTCGTACTGTTGTCCTCCTCCTCCTCCTCGGTCCTCCTCCTCCTCCTCCTGCCCTCATCCTCCAACTCCTCCTCCTCCTCCTCCTCCTCCTCCTCCTCCTCCTCCTCACCTTCCTCCAAATCCTCGTACTGCTGTCATCCTCCTGCTCCTTCTCCTTCTCCTCCCCCATCCTCATCATCCTGTCATCTGTATTATCATCCTCCTCTTCCTCCTCCTTCTCCTCCAATTCCTCCTCACCCTCCTTCTCCAAATCCTCGTACTGGTGTCCTGTCGTCGTCGCCCTCCTCCTCCTCCACCTCCTCCGCATCTTGTCCTCCTTTTTCCTCATCATTATACCCCTCATCCTGCTCCTCCACCTCCTCCTCCTAGTCGTGGCCACCTTATTCCTCCTCATTATATTCCTCCTCATTTTTTACACACTTGTCCTGCATCCCGCCTCTCCTATCCTCCCTCCCTCCATATTTCCTCCTCCTCCACCTCCGTACAAGTGACTCCTCCAAATCCTCGTACGAGGTCCTACTCTTACTACTCAATACCTACTCCTCAATCCTCCTCCTCGCCTCTCCTCGTTCTGGTTTCCTCCTCCACACTACTCCTCCTCGCATCTCTCCCGCCCTCCAATCCTCTGTTCTCCTCTCATCCTTCCTCACGCCAGACCATCCGCCTCCGCACCTCCACCTCTCCCCTCTTCCTCATCACTATACGCCTCCTCCCATTCTCCTGCCTCACATCCTCATCCGACCTCTCCCTCCTCATCCTCATCCGACTTCCTCACCGGCATACCTAATCCTCATTCCTACGCATCCTCGTCCTCCTCATCGTACTGGTTGTCTCATCCTCCTCCTGCTGCGTCTGCATCTTCTCCTCCTCCTCCGCCTTCTCCTCCTCCTCCTCATCCTCATCATCATCCTCATCACCATCGTCATCAGCGTTATCCGCAGCAGCATCATCATCATCATCATCATCAGCATCATCATCATCAGCAGCAGCATCATCATCATCATCATCATCATCAGCAGCATCAGCTTCATCCTCATCATCATCAGCATCATCATAATCATCAGCCTCATCATCATCAGCATCATCAACATCAGCAGCATCGTCGTCAACATCATCATCACCGACATCAGCATCAACATCATCAGCATCATCATCAGCACCGTCATCCGCATCACCATCCGAATATGCATCATCATTATAGTACTCATCATCAGCAGCAGCAGCAGCATCAGCAGCATCATCATCATAATCAGCATCAGCATCGTTCTCATCCTCCTCATCGTAAACATCTGAATCAGCATCATCAACATCAGCATCAGCATCAGCAGCATCATCCTCATCATCAGCATCATCATCATCATCAGCAGCATCATCCTCATCCTCATCAGCATCACCATTCTACCCCATCCGCCTCCTTCTCCTCCACCTCCTCCCCACCATGGCCATCCCCATGTCCCTGCTCCTGCGCCGATCATACATCTCTCCATCGTGCTCGCCCTCCTCCTCTCCGTCGCATCCTCGTCCTCGTCTTTCTCCTCATCCGCATCATCATCAGCAGCATCATCAGCATCAGTATCAGCATCATCACCATCATCCTCATCATCATCGGCATCATCAGCATGATCAACATAATGATCACCATCATCATCACCAGCAGCAGCATCAGCAACACCATTAGCATCACATCATCATCGGCATCAGCATCAGCATCAGCATCAGCATCATCAGCATCATCTCCATCGGCATCATCATCAGCATCAGCATCAGCAGCAGCATCATCATCGTCACCATTATCAGCAACATCATCGTCGTCACCATCTTCAGCATCATCATCATCAGCATCAGTATCATCGTCCTCATTAACATCATCACCATGAGCAGCAGCATCATCAGCAGCATCAGCAGAATCAGCATAATCAGCATCAGCAGGATCGTCATCATCATCTGTATCAACATCATCATCATCATCATCATCATCATCAGCATCATCAACATCTGATCATGTCCATGAACATCATCATCAGCAGCATCATCAGCATCAATCCATCACCATCATCAGCATCATCATCCTCATCCGCATCATCGTCATCATCATCACCTCCATCCCCATCATCGTCATCATCCTCCTCATCCTCCTTATCCTCGCCATGCCCATCTTCCTTCTCATCGCCACCCTCATACAGACCATCATCCACAACAAGCAAAGCAGCAGTACTAACGTCATCATCACCATCACAACCAGCGGTAAGCCGACTCGTTAAATGTCCCATTGTGTACATGTCTATGGGTGTGCATCGGTTTCTGTGCAGTTGCCCTCCATCCGTCCCTGCCACCCTGGTCATTGTGCATTCGGCGACGGGATGAATCCGCATCCTTCTCCTCATCAGCATCCATCACCACGAACATCATCTACATCACCATCATCTTCCCTATTCCTCCTGCCAATCTTATCGCGCATGGTCCTCAGTGTCTTCCTCATCATTCCCCCCTCCTCATCTTGATCTACCTCGCCATTCGTTACCCAATCCTCCTCTTGAGCGAGGCAGAAGAGAGGTAGCAACGATGGCCTTGTTGAAGTGGGCCGCCGTCCCAAAACTAGAGTGCAAACGACGCGTGGCAAACCGCAGCCTTCACATTACTCATCGTCCTGCCGATGATGACGGTTCCACGTGCTGAACATCTACCTCTTGGTTAATCTCCCCGTCCCCCTCCCATGTCGTCGCCATGATGCAAGTGGGTACTTGCATTTGTCATGTTCATGTTGCCCCTGCTCCTCTTTCTCCTGATATTGTTCCTCATGCTTCTCTTCCAACTCTTGGTGTTCCTCCCACGTCCGCCTGCTATTGCGGATAATCCGATTCACCCTCGAGCTCACCCTGGCGCGAAAGTGCCAGCCCAGACGGAGAGCACAGCCTATCCGAAGCGCCTTCGACTGCACGAGCGCGTTGGCATCGCAGATTGGAGCGCTCGAAAGGGCGAAACCGATGGGGACCATGCCCACCAGCAGCCGTTGTCCATCGCCAACAGCGGCCGATGTCGGACAGGCGGCGTTCGTCCCAAATTGAACACGCCCAAGGCGATCCCGACAGCGAGGGTCCTGTTCAAACTGGGGCATGGACTGCTGTTTGTAGTCGTGCCCATCCCGCTGCCGTGCCTGCGGGGGATGGGCGAATTGGAATGCTCGTCTGTTGCCCGGGAACTTCCCAAATGACCCTGGCCCACAACCCAGAACCGAAGGACATTCGATATTTGACCGTGTGAGAACCCGCACAAAATTTTCTCCTCGTCCTCCTCATGCTCATCCCTCTCCCCCCTCCTCCTCCTCCTCCTCATCCTCTCCGCACACTCGTTGTCGACATCGTCGCCCTCCCTATGGCTCTCCTCCAGATCCTCTTTCTGCGGATTCGGCACGTGTAGTGCCATTGCGAGTCAGTCTCCAAAGGGGTCGCCGGGTGTGGCGTAAGCTTGTAGTGTCGGATGGGGGTCCCCGCTCGAACGGGAGCCTCCCCCGGGGTCCGACCAGGGCTGAACCTAAACGGTGTTTCTCGTTTTCGTTTTGTATTCGTTTTCCCTCATTTTCCCTTCAATCCGCCTCCACCGCAAAGAAACGAAAACGGTCCACGAAACCGCCCAAACACCGTTTAGGTCCACCTCTGGGTACGACCACCCGCACCCATACCCATAGCCAGTCCACATCCCTCCTCCCTCCGACCTCCCAATGCGTATGGGTGTGCGTTGTTCGTTCGTTACCCAGACATGCGACGCCCTGATATGTTTTCAGTGCGGGGTCCCTGGAAGTCCCGACCCTTTCCCCGGGACCAGAGCCTTTCCTCCTGAGTCGTTGGTGGACGGCCCCGAGGCCCGGCAAAGGCCCCCTGCGGGGCCGGAAACTTCCCAACACCGGCCGCCCTGATTCCCTCACGACGCGAGCATGTCTGGGCAGACGTCTGCACGTCGAGGGGAGCTGAGGGCTGCTCCGATCTGCATCGCGGCAGCCACCTCCTGCAGGAAGGCCTGCAGCGCCTCCTCGGACCCGGCGACCGGCGGCTGCGCTCGCGGCCGCCACTCGCCCTGGGGCCGGCGGGCAGGTCCCGCAGGACGGGGGGCTGGCACAGAGGCGGGGGGCGAGGGGGGAGGGGGGGGGAGGAGAACGGGCGAGGGGAGGGGAGGGAGGGCGGGGAGGGGTGGGGTGGGGAGGGGAGGGGAGGGAGAGGGGAGGGGAGGGGAGGGGGGGGGAGAAGCACAGGGAGGGAGCAGAGAGAGGGGGGGGGGGGGGGAGAAGCACAGGGAGCAGACGGGGAGAGGAGGGGAGGAGGAGCCGAGCGAGAGCGGAGCGACGGAGATCGCGGGTCCCAGGACGGGGAACGGGCACGGGGGGGGGGCGGGGCGCAGGGAGGGCGAGGGGGAACGAAGACGGGCGAGAGCGAGGGCGAGGCCGAGGGCGAGGGGAGGGGAGGCGCCCAGAGAGCCAGAGGGCAAGAGGGCGGCGGAGCGACAGAGGCAGCGCGGGGGGCAAGAGAGGGACGGGGGGAGGGGGGAGCGAACGGGCCAGTGAACAAAGGCAGAATGGAGGACGACTGCTGAAACGATCGCTCGCACGTTCATTGCTACTGCGACTCCTG